ACCGAAACCACCGAACTGGGCACGGACAGCTTGTTCAAGCCTAAATAGACTTGTAGGAATAAACAGGACCTCGATTGGATTTTCGATTAAAAAATTAGAAGGAAAAATGTAAAACACAAGACTTAAAAGGCCCGTTCGAGGGCTGAAATTTCAAAATGATCGCCGAAACCACCAAATCTTGGCACGGATAGCCTTTTCAAGTCTAAATAGACTTGTAGGAACAAACGGGACCTCTATTGGATCTCCGGTTAGAAAATTATAAGGAAAATTGTAATACACAAGACTTAAAAGGCTCGTTCAGGAGCCGAAATTGTGAAATGACAACCGAAACCACCAAAACTTGGCACGGACAGCTTGTTCAAACCTAAATAGACTTGTAGGAAAGAACGGGACCTCGATTGGATCTCCGGTTAGAAAATTAGAAGGAAAATTGTAAAACACAAGACTTAAAAGGCCCGTTAGGGGGCCGAAATTGCGAAATGACCACCGAAACTACCAAAACTTGGCACGGACAGCTTGTTCAAGCCTAAATAGACTTGTATGAGCAAACAGCACCCGATTGGACTTCCCGTTACAAAATTAAAATCAAAATTGTGAAGTTCATATCGAGGTTTTTTTTTTTTTTTTGTCAATCTAATATTGTTTTTTCTCTTTTCATGTGACAGACTGGCAATGGTGGAAAATAGTTTGGGCTGCATCAGAAGATTTGATTTTGTGTTTTTGGAAATATTTTGACATATGATTTTGGTAAATGATTTATGGATTAAATGTTTAGTATCAAAATATTTGGTGTTGTATTTTTGCCAATATTTTGACATAGGATTTTAGTAAATGACTTGTTGGTTAGATGTTTAACATCAAAATATTTGGTCGTAATTTTGAAAATATTTTGACATAGGATTTGGTAATGTATTTATGGGTTTGATGCTAGTAGTTTGTAAGTACTTTGGTATACATGTTTTGGATTGTCAGAGAATTGTAATTATGTTTATTGGGATTTTTCATAGCTATTAATTTTGAATTAGTATGAATGTCTTGCACAGGTGTATTATTATTGTGTATATATTGTGCACAGGAAAACAGGTGTTTTGGATTATTTTGAACAGGAAAATTATTAAAATCCAAATTTGTGTATTGAATTTTTAGTGATAGGTGGTATTTTGGTCACTGTTAATAAATTTGGCGACAACATATTGTTTTTGTCGCTAAAAGTTAGTGGTTATTCCAAGAACTTTTAGCAACCAAAACTAACTCATCGCTAAAAACGTGATTTTTAGCGACCAAATTAATTTTGTCGTTAAATAGTACTTTTGGCGACGTATTTATTTGTCGCTAAAACTACATAGCCTATGGAAATTTTAACCTTTTAGCAACAAATTGTAATTTTATAGCAACAAAATATATGATTTTTAGCGACCAATTTTGCTTGTCGCTAAATGTCTACATACGGTGATAATTTCTGATTTCGTCGCCAATACTTTTAGTGATAGGCCTTTGGCGACCAATTGTATATTTGTCGCCGATTCTTTTGGTGACGAAATTCGTACTTTTAGTGACCAATTTTTTGGTCGCCAAATGTGTTTTTTGTTGTAGTTCTTGTTTACTCATTTACATTATCAAAACCATTCCTTAATTGGTTAAGTCCAATTGTGAAAAGTCCTCTAATTTGAAAGAGGACCTAAGCTACAAACACCTTAAGCATGGAAGAAAGTATCATGCTATTGGTCAGTAGAAATCCTCAAGGGAGGATTAAAACCAATAGGCATGAATGCCTCAAGTTCATGCTCAAGCTAACAAAGGCTTAAGGCCACTTTCAAAGTGAATGAAAGATTGAAACAATGGAGTGCAATAACACACATTTCAGCACTGAAATAGCATGCTAAGTGACTTAAAACAATGCAAACAACTCATGTAATGCATAACTAATGAAAGGGGTTGTGCCACCACCTTACAACACAAGACTCAAAGGGCTAGACCAAATCAAAACAGACCTCAAACATGCAAAAATTGTGGCCAAATCATGCTGAGATTGAAGTTTACGAGGCAAGAAATCATGCATACCAATTGGCCAACAAGCAAGGCATAAGGCTTAACTCTTAGAAGCAATGAAAGAGTGATATGCATGAGAGTGACAAAGAAATATGCTCTGAAATCATGTGTGAAATGATGTCATGGCGTGCAAACATCTCAAACCAAGCATGCTAGAGGCATCAAAACACAAGGCTAATGAGGTCCATTGCACTACAGCTATACAAAGCAAGCCCCATATCACCAAAATCACTCTAAACAGAGTTTAAGCATGCTAAAATATGGGTAAAAGCATGCTGGAGTATGGCCAAAATAAGCTGGAATGACGGGCTAAAGCATCAAGCATACAAGGCTAATTAGCGAGATTACACTACAAGTGTAAAAAGCATGCATGAGGTGACTCAACCAGGTCAAAACAGAGTTACAACATGCTGAAACATGGTATAAAAAAAAGGCTGAGATCAAGTCAGGTGGTGGTAGAAAAACATGCTCAACAAGTAGGCCAAAAAGAGATGTAACCAACAAGCAAAGAAGGGAGGCCGCCCCCTCTTACTTTGGACCTCAAAACATGATTTTTACCACTGAAATTTCTCTGAGTTTCAGGCGTAGAAAGGTCAAACAAAGGGTGCCTCAAAAGCCTTAAGAGATGGCACAAGGCTTAAGAAAATAAGGCACACAAGGGGGTGAAACACCCCTAACTCCCACAGGGCCTTAAACAATCACTTTTAACACTTAAAAAAAGAGATTTTTGTAGTTGAAAGCTAGGCCAAAATCAGCATGCAAGGGTGGCCAAACCAATGTACAAAAACAAAGCTTAAAGAGATAGATTCTCACCCTTAAAGCACAACTTTAAAACAGCAAGCTAACAGCCAACTTCTGAGCCAAAATCACTCTGAGGAGCTCCAACAAGGCCTCTAAGATCTTCAACACTAAGGCGAAGCTGTTTGACTAGTTGTTTTAGTGCAAAAGTATGAAGAAAACTCACTTTAAAGCTCAATATCACACAATAGAGAGAGAGAGAGAGAATTCTAGAGAGAGAGGGAGATTTCAACTCTAAAATTTTGCAACCCCTCTAAAGGGAGAGGGAGCTCCCCTTATATAAAGCAAGCAGGCAAAAAGGCTTGCTTGATCCCTCTATACACTGTATGGAGGATGAGTTTTAGTGAGCCACAGCTGGCTCAAAATATCTGAAAATATCTAAAAAGGAGAAAAATTGGCCGCCAGCCAGTTAAGGTGGCCTGCCGGCCACTTCAAGTGGCCTACAAGAGAGCAAACTAGTCGGCAAGTGCCACATGTGGTCGGCAAGGCCTTCTCCTCCCCCAGGCAAGAGGGACCAAGGTTTAGCCCAAAAATAAGGCCGAAACACAAAGTGTATAGCGACCCCAGTCTTTTTCCATTTGATTATTGTATCCGGACTTAGGTTCCGTAGATTCTGTCATTGTATAATGGTTGTTGTTGTTGTTCCTGATTTTCTCTTTTGGAATTATAGGATGTGTTAGGCAGGTTTGTTCAGGTTGGTTGGGTTTAGAAACCAAGTGTTGCTGTCCAGGTTTTTGGTTCTTCGCTCGAGCGAGGAGTTGTTCGCTCGAGCGAGAGGTAGTGTTTGATTTGGACCAGGGCGTTTTATTCGATATTACATGTAATGCTCTATTTAGTAATACTCTGATGAATGAATTCATAAATTGTCTTCTTTAAATAATGCATGTCAATGTTATATAATGGGTTAATTTTGAGGGCTTGACAAAGTGTTTAGAAGCTCAAAGACAAGGCACTCAGCCGAGACACTCGGGTGCTCAAAACAAGCACAAACACGCGCAATCATCGAGTGCACAACCGATGATGTCAAAGTCTTGAGGTCGGTAAAAAATGGGGTGTCTACAATATCCTCCACCGATAACCCAAAATAGATATTTCTAAACAGATATACAATCTCCAAAACAGATAAACTATCCAAATTTCCATAGATGACAGATAACAAGTATCCAACTCCACCCTTTATATAAACATCTATCCAATTTCACATTCCCCATACCAATTCCATTATTTATACAAAATAATTATTTGAAACATTTTAGGGCAAAATTCCATTTTCTACCAAATCCAATCTGTGTGTCAAAATCAACAAATTTAACACAACACATCCCAATATCTACACCCATAACCATTTTCAATACCTTCATTTGAAAACCCCTATTTAGATTTTGAACCAAAACCCTAGGTTTGTCTAAAATCCTCTAATCCCGACATTATTTACGCAATCAACAAATAACTAAGTTGAAAGTCATAGGAGAGTGTAGAAAGTCCATACCTCAAAGTTAGAAGACAAGCAAAGCAAGGAGAAAACTTCAAAGATGCTCAAACACAACTCTATTCGGATAGAAATCTAGCCCTTGAGACGCTCTACCTTTTTATCAAAGAGAGTAGGGTAGAGAAACCACTAGATCTATGTAAAAATGTAGAGAGAATGTGAGTTCTAGAGAGAAAAGCTCAAGATCTAGGGTTTTGGAATGTTTTAGAGAGAGAGAGAGATGAAAAAGTGATGTAAAAAGTAGCTTTTACAAACTGATATATGCACAATTTGCCCGAGTGCGAGAGTTGACGCTCGAGCGTCAGACACAACAAGTTGTTCCACTTGAGCACAAGAAATGACACTCGAGCACAGAATACACACTCCTAGTAGTATTGCAGACAACAGACCAACGCTCGAGTGCAAGAAGGGCCGCTCGAGTGCAGAAAGAACCGCTCGAGCGTAGAATACACTCTCCCAGTAGTTTTACAAACCTATAAAAGTACTGAAAGTTCACAAAGCCCACTCGAGTGCAAAAAGTGTTGCTCGAGCAGAGGTGCAAAATTCTAGGCAACAAGGGTTTGGAAACTAAGCAACCAACCTGTCCCAAACGTAACCACAACAATCGAATAGCCAAATTTAAGGAGATATAAGGGAAACAAGAGGTGAACAACAATATGAAACCATGAAACCCAAGTCCTGGATACAACAAGGGTCGGGTCAAAATTGGAATTGCTATATGGTTCGTAGAGGGTTGACTCCAAACATTTTGACATATAATACTCTTATATCCAGTTGCTACAAGGAGGGAATGATGCAAGAATCTAGGTTGCTGTTGCCTGATATGGTCAAGAATGGGATTTTCCACGATAATTTTACTTGTTGGATTCCTGTGCAAGGATATGTGAAACAAGGTAGGTTGCTTTCAACTCTGAATATGGTTGTGGAGCTTCAGATATTTGGAGTTTCAGTCTGTCGATATATTTATGATTATCTAATCCTCGTTTTGTGTCAGGAGAATTGGCCATATGTAGCAAAGAATCTCTTGAAAAGAATGTCTCAAGTTGGTCATGAGCCTAAAGAGGAAATTTTCAATGAGTTAATCTATTCTCTATCCAAGAGTGATTTTGTGGAGGAGGCATTATTGTTGAAAGCTGAGATGGTTTCTAATGATATGAAACCCAATTTAGTTACCTATAAAGCTCTTATAGGCTACCTGTGTAGATTAAGTAGAAGTGTGGAAGGTGAGTGCTTAATGAGAGAAATGGTTGAATTTGGTGTGAATCTTGATATTGCAACTTGCAAGGCTTGATAAATGGATTATGCAAGGAAAGGAATCTTGATAAAGCAAAATCTCTACTTGGTTCAATTGTTGAGGAATTTCAAATTTATGACATAGAATGTTGTAATGCACTCCTTAAGATTTATTATGAGGCAGGTGATGTTGCCAAGTTGATGGAGCTTCAGGATAGGTTGCTGAAAGTAGGCTTTGCACCAAATAGCCTGACATTCAAGTACGTGATAGATGGATTATGTAAAGCTACAAGATCAAAAACTGTGTTGTATGGGGAATGAAGAAAACAAATCTTATAACCAATCACTCTTGAAAGCTCCTGAATAGAGTTTTCTAATATCATATTCAAATCAGTTGCCGTTGCCTTCAGATATGAGAAAGTGGCACTTGATTTGTTGAATTGCTATGTGCCCTAAGCAGCACAACGGTTAGTGGTAAATGAGGGTGGTACCAAGAGGGCTCTAGCAACTTGGACAATAAGAGGCATTACTATGAGCTGTAAATATTATGCAAGTGTGGCACTTGAAAATGTTTTGATTGGCTAATGACAGTGATCATAGAGTTCCAGAAGTCATTGAGAAGCCTGCAACCTATGGGCTCTTGAAGTCGTGCACGGGGTGGTGGCATGTGCCATGGAGTTTGGACAACCTACAACAACTAAGATCACGTAACACTGGTATGTGTCTCTGAGAATTATGCATGTGAGCTATATGGTTCTATCAAGAAGATGACAAGGCTTCTCTTCTTTTGTTTTTCTGCTCCTTTCCAATTTAAACACCTTCACACACTACATGGAGCAACTTACAACAAGAAGGCTTCCATATAATCTAATGATTGCTAGTATTTTGGAACAGAGAAATTTAGGGACACAAAATTCTTAGCCAACCACTACGCTGGCCTGATCAGCTGATATTAATTATTGCAGTCCTAGATTGTATGAAAGAAACTAGAGTTTTCCCACTGAAGCAGAAAATTCTGATGGCAAGGATGTCTTTATCCTGCCAAGATCATATTTGGACCCAACTTGATGAAATGAGGCGACTGAGGACTCTTGATCTATCGAGCAATGGATTAGATGGAGATATTCTTATCGGTGTGACAGGAAACATGATTTCACTAAAACACTTGGATTTATCTTTTAACAACTTGCATGGTGAAATACTATTAAAAAACTCCAGCCTGCCAAACTTGAAGTAGTTATATCTCTACAGCAATATGTTGTCAAAAATGAACCCAAACAACTTGTTGAAGTGCTCCTCTCTAGGTACCCTAGACATTCAAGAAAATGGCTTGTCTGGAGAGCTTTCGATTCAACTTTCCCCTCTTCCTATGTTAACTATGCTTTTACTTAGACGAAACCATTTACAAGACGAAATCCTTGTGCATTTGTGTCAATCAAAACAAATTATTATCTTGGATATTTTAGGAAACAACCTTTCACACGGCATCCCCTAGTGCCTTGACAACATTACTTCTTGTAATGACATTTCCAATGGCAACATTTTGTTTCCTGTCGATTATGAGGGGTCAGGTGAGTTTTATGTTGCCAGAATACTCAAACAATTGCATCCACATTTGTTCCCATAATAGATTTTATTTTGTAACCAATTGACCAGTGTTGTGCCGACCCAAATAGGCAATTTGAGAGGCATCGCTAGACTGAACCTGTCAAATAACCTTTTTACTGGTCATAATTCTCCCAAATTTTAAAAACATGGAGTATTTTAAGTCTTTGGACCTTTCCAGTATCCAGTTGTCTAGTGTAATCCCTCCAGAATTAACTTCCATTTCATTTCTCGAAATATTGAATTTTAGCTACAATGACCTATCAAGCATCATATCAAGAGGATTTCAATTTGAAACCTTCGGCAATGAAAGCTATATGGGGTGCTCTGTGGAGTCGTTATTATTATTAATACATGCCTTCAATTGCTTTTGAGACTGGTTGTGCACATCTTATAACAGTTACTGTTGCATTATAATTTCTACAGCAGATGGTAATGATCAGAATGAAGTCGTTTTAATTCTTCAAAACGGTAGGTTTTATTATTATTATTTAAATATAAAAAAAAATCAAAGTGATGTTGGTAATTTTAGACAAACCATAACACTACTAATCCCCCAATTAAACCAGCAAACACCACCAAATTTTATATTTGTTAATTCAATTCTATTTTGATAGAGTGCTTCTAATACTATATATTGGCTTAGATTATAGATTAAATTAAAGCGAAATGTTATACATGATAAGTTTTCTCTGTCTCCATTTCATATCAGCCCTAGTATATATATATGATTGATTTTCTTATTTAAATTAAATTCTCCCTCTTCTATGTTAAAAAAATATAGAAGCTCTAAAAGTCATTAGAAATAGCAACTGACAATAGCTAGCAGTAGTGGTGGTGGTGATATGAATAGATAAGTATGGTGGACAAATAAAAAATGACATGTGAAAAAATAAGTGATGTAAACAGATAAATGAATAATCGATAAATATACAAATAAATACAGATGATATAACATTTTAAATTGTTATTGTTAGTTTGTCCCCAAAAATAGACCTTGCGATTATTAATCAAAAAAGTTTAAAATGAAACTAATAACTTACTGTAGTCTTTTCTTTCAAATAAAAGATGAATAAAAGAAGGATAACATCACAAAACTTTTCGAATTCAAGATAACTTTATGCCAAACTATTCCCTTAGTTGAAAACTCTTTTATTTTTATTTTTATTATGCATAGGGTAAACTTCATTTTACCTCTCTGTGATTAGGGTTATGTCACGCCCCCAAACCGCCCCTAGTAGTTTGGTGCCGTGATGGCCAGTAATCCGAGATTACCGAAGGCCGACTTACAAGAATCACCCACAATCAGAGTATAAAATATGGGGCTTACAAGTGCGGAAGCAACATATATATATATATATACAAAATCTAAATAGTCCATGAGAGCCGTGCTTAAGTCCAATGAAATGACATACATTTTTACAAAGTCTTACAACTTAGATACAATAAGGGAATGAGATACAAAATACATCTTGACCAAAAGGCTTCTCAAGCCGACATATACAAGTACACATGAAATATAGGCTAAGAAGCATAATCTTCAAGATGGTACAAAATGCTAATCCAAAACACGTCGGCAATGCACCCAAAAACACATCGGCTACACGTCTAGGCCTCATTGCCTTCTTGCTCATCACCTACATATATATAGAGAGGGTGAGCTTGGATACTCAGTGAATGATATTAGAAATAAAGGTTTTGCATGATTGATATCCAAGATTTCTTCCAAAACAATACATAGCATACTTTACAATCAAGGGGGAAATCAAGTTCATTGCCAGCCTTTCAAGTTCCCTGGATGTTATTACATCTACTTAATACAAGGGGGTGATGACATTCCAAGACAAGAGTTGCAGTTGAATATAGTCCCCTGCAGCTAAGGACTTTCAAGAAATGTCATCAAAACAAGATAGTGCTTAATATACAAATAGGGATAGTCATTCATGCTAAAATCAAATACTTTCTGTCAAAACCAAGCAAAACGAGATTTATCAAAACAAGTATAACATAGCTTTATTAAAAATACCACTCACATAGTTCTTCAAACGTCGGGGTCGAGACAAGCCCAAGTCCTACAAACACAGGGCAAAGCCTATTGAATGCACCCTCAACAGTTTCGTATGTATACAATTGATTTCGGAAACATGCTGGGCATCAACCAAGTCTAGGCCGAGGTTCCACACCTCCTCGCCGAGGTGTGTTCCCGAGGGCCACAGGCAAGGAAAAGAGGTCAGGAAATCCTGGGTTTCCATTTTCTTAGAATTTATTGAAAATTTTCTGAGTAATTTATTTACAATTTACCCGAGGGCCACATGCAAATAAAAGAGGTCGGGAAACTCTGGGTTTCCCTCTGTTGATGAACATGAAGAACATGATTGTGAAAACATGAAAAATATGAATGTTCGATCACAATCTGTTATCACAAATCTGGGATTTTCATGCTACGAGTTTGGAATCGTGGACCTGGGTACCCATAGTTGAAAATCATGCAAGAACAAACACAAAACATGAGTCTAGGCAAAAAGCTTTCGGATCAAAACATGACTTTCTTGAAGAACACATGAATGTCATTTTCTCTTTCTAAAATCGAACTTCAAAACAATGCATGGCTTACAAATCATATCCGATCATGCAATGCAATAACATGAACATAGAGAACATCATGAGCAGATCAAGAATCTAACCTTAGAGCATAGATCTAACGGTTCGATCTCTAGGAATCAAGCTTGAAGATCTACTTCCGCACTCTAAAACTCCTTCTTCCTCCTAGAGTTTCTCTCTCTACAAGGCAAGGTTATGATATCAAATGATAGTTTTCTTTACCCGGTTCTGGGGTTAACCCTCTACTGAGACACGTGGCGGTGACTGGTTGGGTTCTTCCAGAAAAGGTGACTGACAGACCAGACAAAGCATGGTGGAAGGGTGTTCAACAAATAAAGCGGTATGGGCTCTCTGACGAGGCAATGACATCGGCTAATAACAAGGCGTATTTAACAAGCTACACGGAATGGCACTCTGGCAAGGGGTGGCATCGGCTAACAAAAGGACTTCGGCAACTAAGGTGACAATGACCTTGGCTAGGTAGGACAACACTTGACTAAGCTGTGCCACATCTCGGCCTAGATGCGCCACACCTCGGTCTAGGTCATACCACTCCAGGACAAGATCACTTGGGTGCAAGGTAACATCTCGGCTAATGTGTCAAGGCGAGGACGGAGGTCAACAAGGGGTTCCATGATATTTCTAGACTGAGGATGACCTCGGCTTCGAATGATCTAGGCATAACGTAACCTAGGCTTGGAATAACATCGGCTAGCATAACTCAGGCAAAGCGTGACCTAAGTTTCACATCAAGGAAGGAACAAGACAAGCACACTACACTTAGGCAAATCACAAGGCTTCAAAACAAGGCATAGATCGCACTCGCTCAAGCGAAACAAGTCACAAACATACACATGCAAGCTTAACAAGTCATAATCATACCGATGCTCATGAACATGATGAGGACATAAAATGTGGGTTCCTACAGGTTATGTGTGGTTTATCTCCTAACGTTTGAAAATGATCACATAATCCCTTTGTGGTTTGTGAATTGAAATGCACCATTAGGCCTAATAACAATTTAATGAAAAAAACTAAAATATTTATGTATTTTCATTACTTGTTTAAAAAATAAAGTGCATTTAGCAACTGTGTTTATTTCATCCTTTGAAATTTAAAAATAAGTATATAATCCGTTAGTCTATCACGATAGTTGTTCTTAAATTAAGAAATATATTTAACAATATAATTCAATTCACAAATCACATGGTGATTATATAATCATTTTCAAATATTAAGAGACCGATGCTCATGAACATGATGAGGACATAAAATGTGGGTTCCTACAGGTTATGTGTGGTTTATCTCCTAACGTTTGAAAATGATCACATAATCCCTTTGTGGTTTGTGAATTGAAATGCACCATTAGGCCTAATAACAATTTAATGAAAAAAACTAAAATATTTATGTATTTTCATTACTTGTTTAAAAAATAAAGTGTATTTAGCAACTGTGTTTATTTCATCCTTTGAAATTTAAAAATAAGTATATAATCCGTTAGTCTATCACGACAGTTGTTCTTAA